GGTTTTATTTTGGATGAGGAAGAAAGTATATAGGTTAGAAAAAGGGAAGGGGTGACTTCTGATGATGGGATTTAGGGAGTAAGAGATTAAGAGCTAAGTATAGGAGGTCTCACAGAACATGGGGTACTGGAATTAAGATGGAGAGGTGGGGTTCTGGAGATGATGACAATCAAGTCCAAAGGGTGGCAAGAGGAGTAGTTGCAAAGAGGAGCAGAAGCAAGTACAAGAAACAAGCAGATTAAGAAAGAGGAAACAACTGTTTGATGGACACACAGAAGGAATATTTGCATAAGGTACCTTGTATAAAAATTATTCCTTTCATTTTTGATAAACTGAAAATTGAAATTTGATTCAATTCAAGACAAATAAATATAATCATCTGAACATTATAGGAAAAAAACCAATAACTATTCAAATACTCACTATGAAGCGATGGAGTCCATAGTATAAAACAATATCTGCTAAGGTAAAGTTATATCCTGTAAGATAGACTTTGTCTTCAAGATATGAATTAAGATCCTAGAAAGAAAACAAAATGTTTATTTAAAAAACAGTAATACTAAAGTTAACTACTGTATCATTTGATTTTAAAACATTTAGAAGGCTATTAGAATACACAGTACTGACATGTTAGTTTAATAAACTATCTTTGACATTAATAGAGTCAAATTTATTCAGAATCACAAATCAAAATCACCTCATTTCTTAAAAAATAGGGCAAACATTGTTAGTCTTATTTTAAAGAAATAAGAAAACATTAAAAAATGATATTCAAACTAATCATTTCAGATCCCTAAATTTTTTTCGGGGAGTGGGGGTGGATATGCAGAGGAACATTTTGTAAATCACACTCATGTTAGATTTATTTTTTTCATTAAAATAGAAAAAACTCTTCGATTTCTAACTCTTTAGAGAATTATAATTTGTTGGTGTGTTGCATTTTTATATATTTTTAAAATTTTAAATGTGGTAGAATACATGTAACATAAGATTTGCCATCTTAAACATTTTTAGCTGTATAATTCAGTAAGTGTTAAGGGTGTTTACACTGTTGTGCAACCAATCTTCAGAATTTTTTCATCTTGCCAAACTAAAACTCTATTAAACAGCTCCCCATTTCCCTCACACTCTAGGCCGTGACAACAACCATTCGGCTGTTTCTATGAATTTGACTACTTTGGATACTCCATATATGTGGAATCATATAATTTTTGTCATATGCAACTAGCTTATCTCATTTGGCATAATGTATTGAAGGTTGTAGCATATGTCAGAATTCCCTTACTTGTAAAGGCTGAATATTTCTGTGTGTGTGTGTGTATGTGTATGTGTGTGTATTTATCACACTTTAAGTATTGAAGGTTGTAGCATATGTCAGAATTCCCTTACTTGTAAAGGCTGAATATTTCTGTGTGTGTGTGTGTATGTGTATGTGTGTGTATTTATCACACTTTAAGTGGAATTACTAGATCATATGGTAATTCTATTTTTAATCTTTTGAGGAATCACTATACTTTTATATAACAGCTGTACTGTTTTACATTCCCAACAATGTACAATGTTTCTAATTTCTGTACATACTCATTAACCTTGTTATTTTCTGTTTCTTTGGTAGTAGCCAACCTAATGAAGGTGAGAGGATATCATCTTGTGGTTTTGATTAGCATTTCACTAGTGATTATTACTGTTAAGCATCTTTTCATATGCTTATTAGTTTTATGTATCTTCTCTAAAGAAATGTCTCTCAAGTCCTTTGTTCATTTTTTATTTGGGTTCTTAGTTTTTTCTTGGTTGGGTTATGAGTTCTTTATATATTCTGGATATTAACCCTTTACCAGATACATAATTTGCAAATACTTTCTCCCATTCTATGGGTTGCCTCTTCACTCTGTTGATTATGTCTGCTGATGAATAAAATTTTTACTTTTGTTGCTGTGCTTTTGGTATCATACCCAAGAAATCATTGTTAAATCAAATGAGGTTTTCTTCTAAGAGTTTTATAGTTTTAGATCTACATTTAGGTCTTTCCATTTTGAGTTAATTTTTATATATCATGTAAAGGGTCCAACTTCATTCTTTTGCAGCTGGATATCTAGTTTTTCTAACACTTTATAGACTCCAGTTTTAAACATCATTTAAACAAAAAAGTTTTCTGTCATTTGTTCTCCAGACAATTACCATCAATTTTTAAAAGATTATGTTAAGTATATAAAAAATAGTTCATTTAAAATCACTCCCTCCCTCCCCCAAATATTAATAAGCACTGTGCTCCCTAAATGACCAACAGGTACTTTTGAAGGAAAAAGTATTTTAAGTACACGTTAAAAAATGATTTTTAAAAATCTTAATAGGGTCCTAATCTAAATTGAAATACTGTCTGATAGACCAGCACAAATAAATCAATTTCCTGAGAAAAGAAAAAAAAATTAGATAAAAAAATGTTATATAAGTACTTTTAGTCCTCAAATTTAACAGCACAGAAATTTACATTAAATTACCTTTAAATTAAATAAGACAAAACATTCATATACTTTACAAAAAGGTTTACAAATAGATTATATGAAATACTATCAGATATCCTCACAGGCTCCTCTAAAGACTAGTTATTAAACACTGCCCAGTAGCCAATAGCATTTATTTTGGGAAAATTCCATAAGCTGTAGAGAGTATTTTGTTTTCTTAAATCGCATTCCAAATGCCTGACACATAAGTAGTTCAGTAATCAGTAAATGTTTGCTAAATTCAATTTAATCTCTTTAAATTTGCCCACACCTTCATTTAAAGATAGTAATTTTCAAAATGGTATAAGAATATGGACTGCCAAGGATGATATAGATGAGGGCATAAAGGAAGGCAGACATAATTGAGAAAATAAATTCTGAAGAATCAAAGTAAAATTTGGATAGGAAGGATAAAATATATTAGGAGCTACCACTTAAAATTCTATAATAATCTGTTGAATGGAAATAGTTTTACTCCAAACATCTTCAAATGAAAAGTTGATAAAGTATTAAAATAAAATATTTTTTAAAAATGTTTTTATTGATTTTTTTTTTTTTTTTTTAGAGAGAGAGAGGAAGGGAAAGGGTGAGAAATATCAATTGGTTGCCTCCCACAAGCACCCTGACCAAGGATCGTGCCTGCAACCTGGGCATGTGCCCTGACCAATAATCCAACCAGCAACCTTTCAGTGCAGAGGACGACATTCAACCAACTGAGCCACACAGGCTAGGGCTCTTTAATTCCTTTTTTTTTTTTCTTACAAGTCTTTCCGATGCTATCGCTAAACTTTAAAAAAAATATTTCCTCATATAGAGTTCCACCTGATTTTCCTTTTTCTTCCTAACCACTAATAACACTAATAAAGCAGTATAATAAGCAACTATATATTCTCTAACTAGATTCAGCAAATGTTAGTGTTCTATAATGTCTGCTTTTTGAAATTACATATTTATCTTAATTATGAGCCATTTATACTCAGAATCATGGTTTTAGTAATGAAATGCAACTTTAGAGAGTAAGAATCAAACCCTTTTTATAATGCCCTAATAGCAAGAATTTTAGAAATAATAAAAAGATAAATATTTAGTCTAGATGAGCAAAGGATACATATAAGCACATCTTTTAAAAACAATGAAAATGTTATAAGCATTATTAAAAAAATGCCATAGCATTAATAATTTTAAGAAGAAAAACAAAGTAAACAAAGAAATCACTTCGGAGAAACTAAGATGGCGGCAGAGATAAACACCGGGAAATTAATGCCGCTCACAACAATTGATTAATACCTCAGAAAAACAATACGGACATCATCAGAACCACAGGAAGCCTGGCTGACTGTAAATTCTACAACTAGAAGGAAGGAAAGGCACACTGAGACCCAGAGAAGCTGCAGAAGAGAAGCGCAGAGGTACAGGGCTCGCGCGCGCGGAAAGGGGCTGGCACCCGAGGACGCGGCGGTCTTTTTGAATCCGGAGGGAGTCACAAGCTCCCGACGGCTCTGAACTCCGGTTCCGGGAAGTCTCTGGGGACCCAGGACTCATGCGGGGAGAAACTGGACTGTCTGGCAGCAGGCGAT